GATAATCTGAAAAAGTTTTTACAAATTGAAAAACCGTGATTATGATTATTGCACAGGGAGCGTACTTATAACATTAAAAATATAGTAGATACTTATCTTGTGAATATCTCTACATTTGCTACTGAATATAGAAATAATCATTATATGCAAAAATACAAATGTATACTAAAAATGTCATGCAAATATATGCAAAATAAGTTTGTAGATTTGAAATCTAGACTTCATAAATCCAATTTATAGCTTATATTATTCTAAAGAATTATGATTTGATGTAATTCGGGTTGTGCAAAAAAATATGCAGTAATAAACATCTGAGTTCTATAGTCATTATTACCTAAATTATATTCAAGATCAAAAAAAAAAATTGAAATATTTTTAAACGAAAACCAAGTAATGGCGGGGGTATAAATACATTTTCTTACAACAGGGCGAGGAAAATAGAATTAATTTTGTATATATATTTTTATGAAGAATCTGGTGGTACTTAAAATATATTTCTTATAAAAGCATAAATATTAAGAATGAAATATTCTTTCTATATGGGGTTGACAAAATGAATTCAAAATATTATATTTTAGTATTTCAACTAGATCTATTTTACTACCAGAAACCTCCCTCGAAGTTAGAGTGTAATGCAGACAGGAAAAAAAGGATTTATTTATTGGTACATTGAATGTTTAAAAAATAATTGCATGAGCATTTAAATAAGACGTGTTGCTATTTGTAATCATTAGTTCTAAACAACATTTAAAAAAAATGTTAATGAATGATTAATCATATTAATTTTTTGACAGCTAAAATATACATACAACGTCAATTAAATATAAATAAAGTCGATACTATTGTCTCACAGAATAATAGTTTACAAACACGTCGGTGTCTATAATCTGGTCTGTTTATAATGAATAATTAAATTTAAGTTAAGAGGAACTTTTGTATCTTTTGATCACCCCTTATTTTCAGTTAATAATATATATTTAATCATAAAGAGTTGTTAATAATTTATTCAATAATAAATTATTAAAATAATAAAAATAAAAAATAAATTATGAATACATTATTTGATAATATTTAAGGAGTGTCTAGCGGCGATACCAACTTTTTTTCTTCAAATAATAATCACCATTTTTCTTGAAAATGTTTAAATAGACGTGTCTTTTGAAAATGTTTATTTAATCCAAATAGAAATTCTAATGAATATTTTTTGAGTGATTTTACATTGTACACATTGTAATAAGTTCATTATGTTAATGCATTTGAATAATAAGGACACAGATCCTAATGTGATGAATTATAATTTTAATGAATATTATTCTATCATAAATTTATATTTTGTGAAAATTTCCGAGTGTATAATAAGTAAAAGGAAACCAACACAATAGACTTCTTCAAAAAATCACAAATTTACAAATTATTATAAGATAACTACACTAATATTACTATGTACATACCTATTTATAAGAGCCAATTGTTTCATAGTATATAACTAATTTAATTCTTTTTTTTTCTTGTAACGCTAATGGCCATGGATGTAAAAGCGGAAATTATTAATTTCAAGACCAATAAAAAAAAAATAATAATAATAAGTAAAATTTTTAATATCACATTCATTTTATTGATTTGTAAAACTATTTGAGGAATTTTATCTGCACCTATAGGCTATAGTTTACAGTATACACCATTACCATAATTCCATACACATGTCAAAAACTAATCGTTAACATTTTTATTTAGATACATCAACATTTTCAAAAAAAAAAAATAGCCTGCTTTATAATTTACAGTAAAAATAGTAGGTACTCATTATAAATAAAAAATGTACCCTTAAATGGTGAAAAAAGTATTTAAGTGTTCGAAAATATTGTTCTTTAGACGTAAACTTAAAAGTTTTAAAAGTAAGAATTTGAATAAATTATTAAAAGAAAAAATGGGGTGAACATGCTTGGTAAATCGTTCTGTATATAATATAAAATTCATATACAGGGTAATCCACCAAGAACGCACACCACCATGTTTTCATTTAATAATGAATTTATCCAACTTCTGGTTTTTGGAATTTTTAAGTTTTTCAAAGACCATTTATAGAAATCCTTGAATTTTACTGTACTATTAACTAGTATTTTGTTGAGAGTTTCCTTTTTTACTTTACATTATTTAGTGAATAATTTTTTTGAAAATTTCAGAAAAATGATCTACTGTATAATTTATAGTTGAATAAGGGTGTTGAGAAACAAGAAGTAAATACAGAAGTTTGTATCTAAACAAGACACTCTTTAAGTAGTACAAATAATCTCAAGAATTTCAAAATATAGTCTTAAAGTATATTTAAAATTTTCAAAAATCATATTAGGAATTATTGAAGAAATAAAAAGGGGAAGCATGCTTGGCGAACCACTCTGTATATATTTGTACACGTGACTAGTTTTCTGTGTCATATCTAAAAATAATGTTAAGTATTTATTTTAAATGAAAATATATAATGATTCAACTTTTATTTAGAACTGTATTATACAATAAATATTGATTAGTCACTGTAATAAAAAAATAAAAGTAAAGTTTTTATAACGTAATTTAAATTTAAATCACACTGGGGAAATAATAACTACTTTCTAGTTGTTTTTAATAATATCGAGAAACATGAATTCGGGTTTGATCGTAATGCTATAAATGAGTCCGATCATAGTATTTTTGTATCAATACAATTGATAGTAATATAATATTATGTTTGTTGATTTTGTGGAACGACGAAACGATGTTATTGAGTTAGCAATAAGTACATAAAGTATAGGTATTTAATAATATTTTTTTTATGACTTATGACAAATATGTAAACTAGTTTAGTAGCACCCAAAAAAATCGTAAAAATAATTAATTATTTCGTTGAAGTGCGGTGGCTTCGGACAAAATATGTGACTTATATAATATAATATTAAATCGATTACGATTTTTTTTTCGTCACACGGCGTAATGCATAGTCAAACTCGGTGCATTCGTGACGGCGAGGTCGGACGAATGCATGTCATATTCTAATAATAATATAATATTGTACACCTACTTAGTACATACTACATAGGTACTACACCTACATAATAATATTATTATTAGGGTACTGATTTGCACGCAATCAAAAATATTATTTGTTAATACTTATGTTGTTATTTATGCAAAAATATGTCTTTACAAAAAGTTGTACATTAAATTTTAAAATTTTATCATATAAAAAATAAAACGAGTAGGTAAATAATATGAATATTTAATGTACACCAACGAACGAACGATAACAACTGTAGTCACTAGCGTACTAGATTGTGTGTTAGATACCTATAGTTATATAAAAAATACATATATTTATGTCTCACATGATAATGATTATCTTGTCAATTGTCAATAATGCAATATATTATTATGTCTGCGAATGGGTAAATATAAAACATTTTACGATATCAACATGTATATTTGTATTCTTATTGGTTAAATATTTAAAAATAATTTATTATGCGATTATGAACAACAGTAAAATTAATGGATGAATAATAATACGTCGGCCGGAGCACACTCGCAGCCGGTACCGTATTATACATTATAGTAGTCTCGGGGACGGCGACAACGACGACGACGATAATACAAAATACATTTTATATACCTACCTACTTTTTTTTGCATAATATTATGTACGGTTAGCGTGAAACCTACGCTCTCGTGAAATAAAAAACTCATCAATGGCAGAGGGCAGGTATATAATATAGTAGTAAGTACTGGCGCGGAGGCGCGTTCGTTCAAAGGGCCTTTTCGTTTCCGCCGAAAAATAATATTACCCATATATTATATTATTATATAGTTTACGATATTTACGCGACGCGCCGCCGCAGATGATGCGATTTTCGAACGGCGGCGGCGGAGGAGGGTGAAACGGGAGGGTTGTCGTCTCCATTAATGGCACTGGAGGATCGTCTGTTTCGCGGCGGCGGCACGGCTACTATATTATGCGTGTATCGTAATAATACAACCGCCACTGGAGTCGCGGGCGCATGCGCATAATATCATTGACACTGCTGCTGCTGCTGCTGCTGCTGCCGCCACTGCCACCACTGCTGCCACTGCCGTGACGTCACGCGGCCCACCGCCGTCGCGTGTATACAGGGTAGTTCGCGATCACCTCCACTCGATTACTCGATTTACTCTTTAGTCTTTGATTATAACACCTATATGCGTGTGGGAATTCGGAGCCTTGTTCCGGTTACCGTGCTTTTATTTCCAGACCGCGAGAAGTGCCTGTTATTTTCACTGCAGCTAACCGTAATTGTTTGTCTTATCCTTTGGACGCACGTGGATTGAAATACCTCAGGGCTATAGGGCTAGACGCCCTAAAAATAATATATATTATTTCTGCAATCAGTTATACATAATATATTTAGTCAAGTAGACGCGATAATGCAATATGTACCTATAACCTACTGCTCTATTTCTATTCGATTTTTAGTTTTTTTTTTTCAATCATATAAATATCATATCATATCTGCTCGAGAATTCGAGAATTTCAATTAATGAAACGGGGATGGGGTGCTCATTTATTGAACACAAACTTAATACTGCCAAGGCTGGAGACTATAATCGCTTTTAAGTTCAATCACCACGAAGAACCTAAGCTCCCGACAACGTGCGGTCTTCAAGCATAATATATCTATGCGGCCATGCGAAAATCCAAAAACACATATCGATATTAACTGCATCATGTCCGAGTCAAAATAAGGGCATAACGGGGGCACGAGCGTGTTCGGCGAATCACCCTGTGTACATATTATATACATATTACATTATATTATGTATACGCCGTTGACCGGGTCGACCGGGCGGCGGAGTCGGGTGTTCCGGCGTACCCGTTCAACCCCCGCACCCCGTTTCATTCCAATCCCCGCCCACCCACATAGGCGCGCACCCCCGCGTCCACTGACGCCTCCGACTACGGCGTCTTTGTATTGATCAACCGATGCGCGACGCACACACACGGGCGACGCAAACGTTAAACGCGAAAAGAGAGGAAAAAATCTAAAATAATAATAATGAAATAAAATTCGTCGGCAACCCCCGAACTAGGACGACGACGACCGCCGCCACCGCCATCGGCAACGCGCCGTGATCCTATCGTCGTGCGCGCGAAATTATTACTACTATTATTATTATTATTATTATTATTATTATTATTATTTTTATTACTATTATTACTACCGCCGTTGCAGTTATATCATTACTGTTTATTTATTTCGACGTTTTATTTTAAATAGTACGCGCGCGTCCGAGCGTCCGGTCGGACACGTCCAAGACACGTCGTATATCGTTCCGCTAATATATTATATTAATACGACACGTCTCACGTTATACGGAGTACAAGTGTACCCGTACACGCCTATACCGGAGGAGGCCAGCGAATCATCCGATACTCGTACGTACAGTTACACCTATAGCGATACATACGGATCGCATAATTGTTGTTATTTATACGAGCGCACGCGATTCCCATTCAACGGCGGTGCGACGGGGAAAACGTAATAATATTACTATAATATCGTCGCCGTAATATCGTACGCGGCCACCGGCGTTCGATCCGCGCGCGCCCAGTCCGCGCGCCCGTCCTCGTCGCGCAGTCACGTCCGTCACCGGCGCGTGCACCGTACTCGTCGCGTGTCCGTCCGTCCGTTGTCTCGCCGCGCGCCGATCATAACTACTGCGCCCGGGGTTATGGACGTGGCGGCGTTGGCCGCGGCGACCGAGACGACGACCGAGACGACCAACTCCGCGGCCACCGCGGCAGCTGCTGCTACGGCGGACTTGGCCACCGCAGATACGGCGAGTACCGCGGCGAGAGCGACGACGACAGCGACAGCGACAGCGTACACGAACAGTTGTGATTGTGATAATACGGCCGCGCTACGCCCACCCAAGGTTCGCGTCAGATCGTCGTCTTAAGAGGATACGCGAGTGGGGCCGCACAGCCGAGACTTGATCGCAGGTCAGTAATAATATCACGACGTTGTATTCTATTACGCGTTGGGAAGCTTCACGTTAGCGGTGAAGAGAGGAGTCGTGGTCGACGCTTTATTTTCACGTATAGGTAGTGCCTAGAGAGTAGAAGGAGAACCGCTCGAAACAGTTCTACGAGTAAGCCTGCGGCGTATACAGTGTTGGTGGGGGGGGGAGGGGTTACCCGGGGCCGAGGCCTAGATTTAAAATTTCGGGTTCAATCAAAACGTTCGTCGTGCTTACTGTACGTTTGTTCAATAATTATAACCCCCGCACCTCGACACTTACCTGCAGGCCTAATCGGCCCATAAAATGAAAACAATATGATTCCTACAGATACGCCGCCGTACGAGACCTTTGGCTGATCATCACGCATTCACGCCCACCATAAAATAGGTACCTACATGACATTATAATATGTAGGAACCGTTAGACCCGAAATACGCGTTTTTCGACGAGGTCGTGGGATATGTTGTTATGAAGTTATAAAAAGCAACGACCTGCAGCGTGTACGCATTATACCTATTTTAATTACTCTATCTATACGCAAATAGTGATTAAAAATTAGGTAGCTTCTCCGTCGACCGCATAATATGCATTTTGCCTCTTTTCCACAGTTTCATCATGCACACATTATATACTATGTGTGCCGTGCAAAACGATCGATACACATGTGCGAGTATTATATTATAATAATAATCGTTATATACATATATCGCGCACAGCTCTGTGCGTGGCTCTCAAAATTGGTTCTGTGTATACGAACTACCCGGCATGATTATACACTACCTATATGGATTAGTGTGTGTTATTACTCCGCGATACGTCACGTATGGTAATGACCATGTGCACGTTCGCTGTGCTCACTTTGAATGGGTAGGTATCGTGTGATTTACGGCCAGCGAACACGAAAGTGACGAATTTCGTCGATCGACCACTACTATGCACAGCAGGTACAATACAATATGTATCATATAATCGTGTGTACATACGGTGACATTATAATATATTATTATTATATCACAACCTGTATACGGTGTGCAGTTGGAGCGACCGTACGGAGTGTTCTACAGTGTTCTCACAATAACACTTGTGGGGGGGGGGGGGTATTGGGGTTAACTGCTTTTGCAGATTTAATATGAGATGCTTATGCGCTTCTGGTGTTTGCAGTTAACGACCAAATAATGAATAGCTTTTAGACGGTTCCGAATGATTAATGGCGGTGCATGACGTGGTGCCAGTGCATATTTTATTATTTTCCGGCTACGTCGTCTGGTGGGGCAGGTATATTCACGGGAGCTGTGGATACCGTTATAGGTAATATGGGAATGATATACCCTTTGTTATATTGTATGCCTACGCATCTGTATGTCGTCTTAGAAATACTATAATTTTGACGATTTGACGATTTGAAATTCATATTATTATCATAATGTGCTTGCACACTGTACCTATGTATAATATAATTGTTTAATGATTTATAAGTGCTGATTTTTATGTTCAGACAATAAGAAAAATAGAAAAGAGTATGCCCTATCAGGCATATACAATTTTATAAGCCATCAACGAGGTTTTTAATTTGGTGACCCACATTTTGTTTGTTTATTTTATGTACCGTCGGTAACCTATTTAAAAGGTTGACGGATTTTGATGAAAGTTTACCTGGATAACAGAATGAATAGGTTTACGAGTGGGTGGGTTACTGGAAAACTACAAACTGTGAAGTTTCAATACATTCTTTTCAAACAAAAAGAAAAAAACGACGTTTTTAGACTTTATAGTGGAATATTTTCTGATTTTCCCATTGTTTTGTATGTGTGGCTCTGTCATCTGTCAATAAAGCAACTTAGTCACTTTAACCTAAACGATTTTCAGCCCTTCATTTCGAACTCAATTACTTTATTATTTTATTTTATTCATTTAAGCGTACGTTGAATAATTAATATTAACTCGACAATGTATTGTCATCTTTAAAGAAACACTTTAATGTACATTCAGGTCAGTAGTTTTTAAAAATATGTTTAGGCTATATTCAAGTTTAAAGTATCTAATATTGTGCTGTTTGTTTTACATTAAATAATTATATTACATTTAAATTTCTCTTTGTACCATTGTAGGTGATATATTGATATTCAAAAATTGGTTTAATCGCTATAACTTATAATTGAAATTTACTCTGAACACTGGGAATTGGTATCAAATTAAAAATGTATTTTATTAATTTGAATTTATTAAACGTTTGTAATTTATTTACATTTTAACAGAAATAATATTTAATTATTGTAGGTGTAAAATAGTTTTCCGTTCACCGAAGTCCTTTCATATTTCTCAATTTACAAACAATAATATGATAAATTAGTCTAAGACAATAAATATACATTGCTAATGGTGTTCCAATCTTTCTTGTTTTATCATTTTTATTTAAAATTCTTTATAATTTTGTATTTTATTTACATTCTAATTATTTTTCTTATTATATCTACTGCCTACATTGTTACTTGAAACAAAAATGAATTTAAGTGTCTATTTTATATTCTAAGAGCACTGCCTAACTGTTAATAAATGAATAAAATAATGTATAGTTATATATAAATTGTATAGATTTCATTTTTAAATTGCACCCTCACTAAATCTGTTGGTTATCTAGATAATAAATAAACTTTTTACATTTTTATATTTGAAACTGATACAGAATATATAAATGTATTTATCGTATAAAAGAAAAACAATTTAATGTAATGGACCAATAGATTTATTTTAAATAAATCATGCAACTGACTTTGACTACAATGGTGTTACTATAATCGAAAGAATTTTGAACATATTGATCAAGAAAGAGAATTATTTTTGATTGTTATTTAATATACAAATTAAATTGAAGAACCATAAAACTTTATAATTTATTTTTATCTTACTCTAATATTATTTATTACTTATTAATAATTGGTCATTTATTTTACTCATTACACAAAACTGGTAAAAATAGAAACATTTTTTAAAAAATTGTATTTTATTTTTTAACTGAATAATAGGTGTGGTTTAATACAGAATTTTAATTAATCAAGCATAAAAGGTAGGCATATAGGTAGGCACATAATACTATTTATAGAATAACCTAATTTTTAATGAGGAATTTAATATATTCTAAAATGTAAAATATCTTAATGAATCTGTAGCTTTTTAGATTTGTTAAATTTGAAGTTATTTATAGTTACATAATATTGATGCATATTATGTATCTATTTAAAATTTCTTTGTATAATATATTATTTTCTGATTGTGCCCCAATTCTTGTATTTATAAATAAATACAATAAAAAGTGAGCTAATGATTCATAAAAATGGGACATTATTAAATGAGAACAATAATAACATTTATAATATTGCATTTTATTTATCAACAAAATAATTCTTTTATAGTATCTTCTTGAGTTCGATTTTCCATCAAAAATATTTTTTATTTTAATCCCTCTTTGAACTGTTTTCTTTATTTTTATTAGTTGCTTGTTATTAAATTATATTTTATATCAGAGATAATTTACACCGAGATAATTTACTTCATTGTTAAAATTTTTTAATGTTTGTTATTATTTCTTTTTGGAAAGAAATATTTTAATCGTGAAAAATAAATTTAAAAATTATAACCGAACTAAATAATTCTTTGGAAATGAGTTCAAGTTGCGTATAAAAAAAGTACACACAACTTTTAAGTAACAATTAACATAATATATATATATATAACTATAATTTACTTAAAAAGAACCAGTCTTATAAATAATGTAAAATGTATTTTTTTGAATAGTAAAATTGATACTTTTTACTACCATTAATTATTTCAATCTGTATCATGTATAGATTAATAATAGGTAATTGTAAGTACTTATATTATTGAGCCATCTAGGTAATTAGAAGTGGCGATATCATTTTTAGAAAATCAAATATGACTATCAACTAACATTTTTATTTTTATTTATCTTAAAAATATTATAACACAAAAATAAAATACCAAGTGAGTAGTACCTACATAATAATATATTATAATAAAATACAAGCTCTGTAGGCATGCACACCTGACAATACACATATAACCTATAATTTAATTTTAATCTGATTGATAAAATTCTAAGGTTCTAGATATTTGTGTGTTTATTTATTTAATATTAATATTTAGAATCAGCAACAAAATATGTATACAGTTGTAATTTGATTATGTGTTTGTGCTTTGTTTAAATTTGCATAAGTGCATATATTATAAGCCTTTAGTACATATTATAAATATTTATATCTTAAGGTGACGTCATTAATCTTGGACTTGGTAGTTTATACTATAATAAAAATTGGAAACTGACGTTACTGCAGGGGAATCGCACGATTTTTGGGTTCAGCCGAGAGGCATAAAACATATCGAAAACCTGGAGTTTGAACAAGTATACCTTTTTTTATCATTCTCATATATCGATGCACTCGAAGGAATGCGGTCTACAGTTATATAATGCGAAGTAAAACAATAAAATTGCCAAAAAGGAAAACATGGTTAATCCATATTATATACGGTTAGATATTGATCGAAATGGACAAATGGTGAGCGTATATGGTATATCTATGACCCTTTTTTTGTTGCCTTAAAGTAAACGAAATATTTTGTTTTATAAGTTTGGGTATGACACATTTAGGTGTAATGCTTATATGCGTGGAATATTGCAAACGAAGGTTGGCTAGTGGCGACTATAGTACGGATACTATAACATTATAAACCTATAATCCGTTTAAATATTTCATATAATTATTTAGGTATAAGTGTCATATTAATTTATCGTACATTAAAAATGTGCAAATTATTGGCACCAAATCCTCGGTTGATTTCCAAATTTTAGAATTCACCCTTTTTCGGCAGACGTTTTTTTTATATATTATACCTAACATGCAGTAATATCACCCTATTCCGCGACAGAACTGAATACTGATAAACGTCCAAACACCTCTGAATAATAATGTATCGATAAATCATTCGTTTACAAGGTGATTCACCAAACCAATTTTTTTCCCTTTAATATAATGAATTTATTAAAATTCTGATTTTTGAAATTTTCAAATATACCTACTTAAAAGTTAAAGACCATAATATTTTGTCATTTTTGTGGTCTTTTGTACTACTCGAGTACCTTTTTTACAGTAAATTATTTAGTAAATAATTTTTTTGAACATTTAGTCGTAGACACCAAATTCAAAATTCGAATGAGTATATTATGGTTCATCGGTTATTAAAATGTTTATACTAATGATTATCTCCATTAAAACGAATGGTTCTCATTTGAAAAAAAAACAGAAGTTTGTATCTCCACAGGAACACTCCTTAAAGTAGTGTATAGGTACGTACGAAGAATATCGATGGTTTGAAAACATGGTTTAAACTTATATATTTTAAAAATTCCAAAAATCGAATTCTGAACAACCGTGTTACAATAAATGATAACAATACTAATGCAATCGATGTATAATTATTGTACAGGTGCAGCACGCGTATCATCACTGCTGCAGTAGCCGTGTAATAGTCGCGACACGACGTCGCAATGCCGGAACAGAGCAACGATTACCGAGTGGTGGTCTTCGGGGCGGGCGGCGTGGGAAAGAGCTCGCTGGTGCTCCGGTTCGTCAAGGGCACATTCCGCGAGTCGTACATACCGACCATCGAGGACACGTACCGGCAGGTGATCAGCTGCAACAAGAACATCTGCACGCTGCAGATCACCGACACGACGGGGTCGCATCAGTTCCCCGCCATGCAGCGGTTGTCCATGTCCAAGGGCCACGCGTTCATACTGGTGTACTCGTGCACGTCCAGACAGTCTCTCGAGGAACTCCGACCCATATGGCAGGTGCGTACACGCGTTCCGGTCCGGTTTGGTTGTTGGTGGTCAGTGGTTATGCGGTATATCGGTGCGGCGTTGTCTGCAGGGTATACGTGCGTTGGCTGCAAGGGTGGCCGCAGGCGAGTGACTAACAGGGTCATCGCCCCCCCTCCCCCATCGGGGATTTCGTTACCTCTACGAGTAATTTAATAGCATATACGTTTCATTTATTTATTGGTATAGTATAGTATTGCATATACCGTTGAACGATATCACACTAAATTAAATAACCGCGGTATAAGCAGGGAACGTAATATTCAATTATTATTACAGATAACACAAATAAAAATTTTATTTAACAACACATTAAATATCACATTTGCATAATTCAATTTCAACATCTAAAGAATTCAGCCACCCAACGGCCTCAGTGATTACTTTGGCGAAATCCTCCAAATCCCCTTCGTATCTCCTTAGCTGGCAGTCCAAAATTAAGTGTTGCGTCGACTGCACACCTGCTCCGCAATCCCACGCCGGGCGTCCTCTCTAATTTTCAATTTATTCACGAGTTCGTTACATCTTTCATGTAACATGCGTATGCGGTTAGTTTGATTTTAGTTTTCCCAGGGAGGTCGGAGGTCAATGACTGGTACTGGAGTGCGCACGTTATATATGTGGGCGCCGCCCTGGTCTTTTTCTCATCACTTTGTCTTCCCACTCATCTGGGATAATCTTCATTGACTTAGAGATGGTCAGAGCTCTTTGTAAAAACGACTTCCGTGGATTGAGTGTTAGGTTTGTTATTATATGCATTCTATTGGAATAGCAGACCTGAGGCTCAAAGGATACATGCGCATTAGGTATATGTGACATATTAGCAAACATAATTTTATTTTTAAAATATTTCTAAAATAAAAAAAGTGTTAACAATGATGCGTAGTGTGCTGTATTAGAATACATATATTTGTATAGAATACCAAAATCCAATAATATACTAATTTGACAATTGGATTTTAACCTTACCAGAGCGGAATTTTATTCTGCATTTCTGCGGGTTCTCTTGAACTTTGGTTGTGGACACCGGCCGTCTTCAGCAAAACGAATTTTGCCAAAATGTGTGTCACGATGTGCACAATATTTTATCGATAGTAGGTTTATTAGTAGAGACTAGAGGTACTAGTGGGGATGGCGTGGACAATTCAGGACTAAAACGTGTTCGTGCAGTCCACATTTTTTTGAAAATATCTTGAAGTCAACACACACGCAATTTGGAAGGAGAAAGTGAGCTAAGAATCGAATTAACATTTTAAACATTTTATTTAATAATACCTATCAATATTGTTTTTTAATCGATAGCAATTAATTGATTTGAAAGCTTTAAAACTCTCAAAATTTGTCTCTAGTCGGTTGTATTTAACTATTTCAAATTAATTTGTCTACAAGTTTATACAATGTGAAGTTAAAATTTCTAAAATCAATTCAGAATATTGTACATATTATATGAATAAAAATGCATTACTTATAGCCGACAGTCGTCTAGTCATGCAGGTAACACCAATAATAGGCCACACCATCTCCTATAGTTTGTGTACTAGTAACTTGTAGGAATCTACACTCACGTATGCTGTCCTGCGTTCTTCTAAGCTAATATAGGAAACAATTTTAGATTCCTCATCATCAAGTTTAAGATTTATTTTTTTTTAAGTGGCAGGTGAGAGAGAATTGATCAATGAATATATACATACATGTTGCCATGATTAATAGTGCATACAATTTTTTCCTAGGCATAAAATGTATTAAACAACATTACGTTAATTATATGCACACTCTGCGGACTAAATTAGTTTGACCACGCCACTTGTGATTTTCAAATTGTGTTATTAAACACGAGTATCTATTTCAATGAGTTGATAACGACGACGCAATCTGATTTCTTCGGTTGGACTTTGTTTTGAATATGTATAGCCTTTTTAAGTTGACAAAAAACTTGAAGATTTCAACTCAATATGGTTTTGTTTGGTTAGGTTAGCGTTTAGCATACTGTTTAGTGTGCATATAGACGCATAGCGCATGATATTACAATTATTGTTATCTGGTACATAAAACTACGGTTTGATAAATCAGAGTAGCTGTGTAAAAACACAAAGAACTATTAAAACTGTCGGTTTCGGCCTTAAGAAAACACGATTATCTCACTGATGTTTTTTTTCGCGTCCATCGAGTCGTTCCACATTCGGTTTACCGATCACGGGCGATCAATCAGTTTTTCCTCCGTCGTCGGACGCCACTGGGTACATATTGGCACTTAACTATAATAATATAGTTACAAATACCCACTAAGTCGCCGCCCGAGTGTATCCACAAGCTCCTTCCTTCTTTGATGCAGGTTAAAGTGATTTACCTTTTTACTATACACTATATAGTAGACTTTAGTCGTGTTGATAAAAATTGTCAAGGGTTCTATGTTTAGAAGATCCTAATTCATACACTACTAAAATAGGTATAGATATTAATATTAATTCAAAATTGTACCATATTCAATGTAGGTAGGTACTACCATAATATTATATGCACTATGCAGATGTGTGGTTTTTGTTTGTGTATGGAACTACTTAGGTACCTTTACCAGACTCTCTGTGTTTGCATACGATTATACAGTATATGTTATGTATTATAATAATCGTATACACGAACACACGATGTAGGTCAGACATAATCGTTGGCTCGTTATTGTCGTATTACGCCAATATGCGCCATACTGGATGAATTGAATACTGCACCATATAGTATAACGTTATACCAATCTTGGAAAGTCGGAAATATAAGGTAAGCCCATTATAGGTGTTAGGTGATCAAATATATTTTCGAGGGGGAGGGAGGTGTCTCAATTCACCCGAATTTCGTTATTATCAATGACATTTATTTTTCAAAAAAAAAAATTGTGCCTTTGTATATCTTTAATATTTTTAAATTGGCATGTATATTTATATGTATAATCTGCTAACCATGTACTATGAGGAACATTGTATTACATTTTTTCTCCACTAAAAAAGTTTTATCGACACTTAAAGAAGAAAAAACTAAAAAAATCGAAAATTGCTCAAAATGCATAAAAAATATTGAATATTTTTCATCTACGAAAATTGCTAATACATAAGCATTTGGTGGAAATTGCACGTATCTTCAGTAATTTGTGGTTGAGTTGAATCAAAAAATAATATCGATTTTGTCCAACTGTTTTCTAATTATTAGGAAAAAAATTGAGAATTTTCAATTTTTACCTCTTAAAAGTGCCAATTTTATCCAAATATATTTCAAATATAATTCAATTTATAAGTTATAACTTTTAATTAATAACTATTACTTATATTATAAAAACATTGCGTGACTATTATTGGTATTTAAAATTTCAATATATTATGAAAAGATTAATTTAAATTTTAACATTACTTATAAGTTATAGGTTATGTATAATGTATTTGTTGCCTGTTGGTTCCTTAGTTTCTGATCATATATTTTGATTGTGTACGTTTATAAGATTGTCGTGTCGCTAGGTTATTTGCCACGCCCTTAGGATAAAAATTAAAACTCCGTTAGCGATTTGGTAAAACGAAACATTGGCACGGTACCGTCTTTTAAATAAAATAAATGAAATAGTTAATAGGAGGAATATTGTATAATATTGTAATTTTATAATTATTTAATTATTATTAAATACTAAAATAATATGAGCGTATACCTATACTACCAATATTTTATTTGATTATGAGTGGCTCAAAAAGTTTGACATCCAAAACTATTAAAATGTAATGAACTTACATAATAATAATGATAATTATTTATTACACACTTATAAAATTTAAAAACAATTATCAATGTAAAATAGGTAATTATAAAAAAAAAATCACAATGAAGTAAATTAATTCAATACTTTGTTTACGGTGTCATTGATATTTAAAAAAATATTCATTTTTATTTATTTATTTTAGTACAATACTGTCGAGTTTTTTTTGAAGTGAAACAGATATTTTATTTTTCCTATAGGCGTTAAATTATGATCATGCATCTCGGATTCATGACGTATTCTTTCAATTTGCATTGTATGTACATAGTACATTCATCCTGTTTAATATAGGTACCTACTAGAGAAGTGATGAACCAAACAAAATGATTGATTACTATTTACTATTATTCCTACACATGAAATATGAGATATTGTACCTATCATAAATAAAATTTATGATGGCGGTCGGCGACGTATATGGTATATGAATTATTATTTTAGATTCTCGCCAGAGAAAAGAATGTACCTATTGATTTTGCAGTAATTTTTTTTTTTAATGTTTTTTTATCTCTGAGAACACTTTATCTAGTAAAATGAAAGGGAAGTCAAAAATTGAAAGTTCTCAGTACTTTTGAAATAAAACGAGTGTGGGGTGGGGAATGGTCTGCTGTAGTTACAGTAGGTGTTGAGTGTACCTCGTCATTGGGCAAGTCACTGTTATGTATGTATGACATGTTAAATTACAATTCGATGATAGATCACTGCATACGAAAAATGATTCTGAGCAGAGACAGCTTATCAGTCTATACTTAATAGACGAAAAAAATATCTTGTCTATTTGTATTTAATATTTTTAAATAGCTATAATTACAACTTATTATGAACCTGTGTTAAATTGTTAAGTTTTTTGATCTCCAAAAATTTTTTATCGACAATTATTGAAAAAAAAAAAATTATACATTTCCCAAGCTTATAAATACGTTTGAAATATTTTTAAAAGTATGCCATATATTGAAAATGCAACTATAAACATTTTGTGGATATTTCAAATATCAATCTACGGTGAGGTTGTGAATTACGACTAAAAAAGAAAAACAATTAGGTATGTCAAAAACTGGTTTTGTGAGTAAATTCTTGTTTTTCCATAAGAAGGTTTTAATGATTATTAATTGTTTGGTAACCACCAAAATGTTAAACCGTATTACAGGGACTGAAAAAACCCGTTTTGGATAGAAACATTTTGAAAATATTGAGACCGAAACCCTAAATAGTTTATATTAGGAACCGATAGGTACCGAAACCTATATTCTGATAAATATGTTTTTTTGGATTTTTGGTTTTTTTTTATTGCATTACAATACCTACTACATTTACATTATTATTCTGAAAATAATAAAAATACGTTTATAAATAGTTATAGGAAGGCTTATATCTACAGTACTAGAAGTCAATGTTTCAGAGTCAACACTTTCAGGAATATATTAAATAGTTTTTTTCTCGTTCCGGTAATGTAAGTTAGTGTTGAGAGACTTTTTATCAAAGGTAAACGCCATACAAGATGAACATAGGTAACATCCAAAAACCTGAAAGACCAGTACTCTTAGGTAATTCGAAAAATGAATATATTATTTAAAAAATAATTTTAAAAGGTTCCTCAAAAGTGAGTCACTAATACCCAGTGGCGTAGCCAGGGGGTTTGGGTGTTTACCCCCCATCAACCCTAATAAATGTATTATTTAATTTATTTTAAGCGAAAAACATAATCATAGAGTTTATAATATTCAAAAAGCATTGAATGCATGAATTCTGTTTTGCAACTGGATGGATGTCTTAAAATTTGAAATCGTTGTATCCGAAATGAACGGTCCTGTGCACTTTACAGACTGCTGAGTTAAGTTTTCGGAAAAACGGTTAAGGTTTATATATTTTTAAGTCCAAGAGCATTTCTTTATTTTAAGTTTTCAACGTTGTTTCGTTGACAAGTGGGAAATAAAAAACGACCTACATTAAGCATATTCTGGTTCTGGTTTACATTATTATATCAGGTACCTACTTATTAGAAATACAGAACGTGAAGGCAGACCTCCCCCCCCCCCAAAAAAAAACAACAACATCAAAGCACAAATCATCAGGCACCTACTGCATAATAGTTTATATTTTTCTAACGGATGTCCTCCATAGCTACTTTTAAAAATGATGTGTGTTTGGCGATTCAATAACAGCCATGTTAAGGTAGGCAATTGCCATATCGTATATGTGCTACTGTACTACTGTATAGTCGTAGTCCGTACGTACCTCCTACTATATTTGGTATCATGGCCGAAATAGATATTTTGAGAATCAATATTCACCACGCTACGGTTTCATATTGTTACACCACCTAATTTAAAAGTCAGACCGTCGTTGTCGTCTGGGTAACTACAACACGCAGATACATTTATATAATTATACACTGCACATAAACGTTGTGCTGTCGTTTGGCCCTCGTCGAGTAAATATAATATGTGCATGTGACTACGCTCCAGACTTTAATATTATTGTGTGGGCTGAAATCTAGACAGATCGACTCGGTACAATGTGCGCCCAAGTCCAATAATTGTACTCCAATATTTTTTACAGAACTCTGCAAACGTCTATAAAAATATGATAATATGGGTAGGAACTAGGAAGTAAAAACTGGTGCATGTTTATCGATTGCATTAAGTGGGGGAGGAGGAGGGCTGAAAGGTTTTCAGTTGCTTTTTTTTCGTCCCCGCAGGAAAACAACACTGCCGGCAAACATTGTTTGTACAATTCGTTATTCGCGGTAGTCAGGTAGATGGGTAGGATAATGTATGTATAGGTACATAATATTATCATGTGGGTAGGAAAACTTCACTGTGTGGTTTATGTTTATTTGCCGAAAGTCTTCGGGTAATATATTCACATATTATTCATTCAGGACAGTTTACATTGAAAATAAATTATTACTTTATTAGGTAGGTACCTATATATCTATATTCTATATGGCTGTATCGCAAAAAGTTTTTTTTAACATACACAAATGTCAAATAATATAGTATTATAATTATTTGATTCTAGAAATTTATTAAATCTATACGTACCTAGTACCTATGATTAAAAACATGTAGACACTAAACTTGTAGTATCTATTATAATAGTTTATATAATATTTTCTCAACATAAGGATAGAAAAAATATTTTTAATCGATTCTGGTCCGTCAGCCTAAGTACCTACATATATTTTATGGCAGGTATTATTGTTATATTTACCATTTATGTAATTTATTTTGTTATCTTTTAACCTATAGACGGTTGAATTATTTTTTCTCTTGAAAACATTGAAATTGAACATTAGAAAATGTCAGCTTGTGTATAAAATATATTAAAATATCTAGGTACTTTAAAAGTTTCAAGTACCCACAAATAATGTTTTTAAATTAAAACAAAATTGTTATTTTTGTTTATATATTTTTAACAAATAACTATGTTTGTATGGGTAGGTACCTATATTTTTTTTGTAGTAAGAACTTCTCCTGAGAAATCTTGTTTGACATTTTCAATCCTCAGCTCCATAAATTAAATATGTTTTTAAGATTTTCAACCACAAAATAATTTTCAAATTTTCATGATCTGATGAATTTTATCAGCATTTTAATTTTGGATGTTTATAAAAAAGTGTTTGCTCACAATTATTTAATGCCTATTTGATAACTGCTTTTATAACGACTTACGTATGAGGAATCTTGTAGGTATTACATTTTCAAGCTTTTTGACTCATTAACAATTTTTTTAATTGTTTTTTTATTTAAATCTATAAATAGCGCAAAAAGAATCAAAATATATTTTGAGAATGTTATCATGTATAGAAAACATTTGAACATTACAAGTACCTAAGATTATTACTTATTAGACCCACCAGAGTACCAACTATAGATTCACTTTAATACAAGAAAAGATGCTGAAGTAGAAAGTCAAAGTATTTCTACTACCCAAAAGGTAACGACAGGCAGAAAAAATAAAACTACACATCATTGTAAAATCAATATATTTATCACTGCTATTAAAATCTAAAAATAATATATTTTGAAACTATGAATTATAGAACAAATTGTTTGTAAGTATAGTTTAACACTGCTTAAAGAAAAAAATGTAAAAATGACTACCATCCTATCTCTACTAACAAATTATAGTAAATTTATTAAAAAAATATCAAAACAAGTGTGAACAATTATTTGTGACTAAAATAATAAATTATTTACAGGTCATAAAAGAGACCAAAGGTGCGTCGGAGCTTCCGTCAATACCAATCATGTTGGTAGGCAACAAATGTGATGAGAATGACACTCGAGAAGTTTCAGCTGAAGAAGGTGATGCTGAGGCTCGACGGTGGGGCTGTCATTTCATGGAAACGTCAGCCAAGACCAACCACAACGTTAAGGAGCTGTTTCAGGAGCTTCTCAATCTGGAGAAGAATAGGAACATATCGCTGCAGCCTGAAAAAAAGTCCATGCGTGGCCGTAAGATACGGGAGAAATGCGCGCTTATGTAGTAGTATATTATGTACTACCAAGACACGCTCATCGGACATGGGGATATAGTTTTACATTCGTGTTGTTTAAGTTTCATAAAATAATTTTCCTTTTGTTAAGTCACAATTCATTGAGAATTATTATAAAATGTCACAGTAAAAATCAAATTAAAATTTTTTATTAGTGAGACTGATAAGCGCTGACAACACCAATTTATTTAGATTAGAACTTTAGAGCGATGTTACAACACAACTATACCGTGGACTTTTTTGGAGGTGCAAATATAAAAATGAATTTCAGTTGTATATGTCATAGACATATATAACTAGCAAAGATATAGTGCATAGGATTTACTTTGTATATATTATCTATAATAATTACTATATCAGTCAGACAGGGAATATGAATAATGGTGAATACTTTTGTGGAATCAGTTTTCACAGTACAATAGAATTAACATTTGTTTGAGTAATTATGTATGCAGTACTTCATACGTGTTTGATTTGTGCAGTGATTATTTGAGAGAAACAAGAATAACAACCCTAGATTTTGTAATTTATAATGTACATCATTTATGAGTAATGTTCAGCGTACAGAATATAAACTATACTTCTTTTTTATCATAATTAAATTTTAATTATTATAATGGGTGTTATATACAGTTGTAGTGTACCAAATTTTCCTGTATATAATGCTCATAAAGTACCATAAAAACATTAACAATTTTTATTTTTTAATATTTCTAGACAAGTAATATTGCTTTTCTTTATGAAGATGAGAATTATATATTGTATGTTGCACCTTGTACATAATATTTTAATAAACAATGTAGTTACCTAGTCAACAATATTATAATTATATTTTTAAATACATGACATTTGGTAACCTTTGTTTTTTTAGATAAATATTTTAACATGTTATTATTGTTTACAGCTTTATATGATTCATTTGTTATTCTAGTTGTATAAGTGTATTGTCGATCAATTTTAAAATTGGAAGTGATTTTTGGAAATCATTCTAATAAAAACATTTAGTTCCTGAAAATAATTTTCTTTATCATTGTTAATTTTACGCTCACAATTTTATTGTTTTTATATTTTCACTTATATAATACTATAGTTTGTAGATTTCATTAATTTTAATGAAATAATTAACATTTGTATAATTGAATCATTTTTTAATTTTTACATATTATCATTAAATTATTAATTTAATAGGCTAATAATTAGCTGAAATATTCAACCTACAGATGGGAACATAATTATTTGATATTTATTTATAATTACTAATTAGGGATTGCAAACTTTTTTGGTATTTTATAGAATATAAAAAAAAAGTTTTATTGTAATGTTAGCCTAATGCTCAATAAGAATTTATAAAAGAAAAATAAAAATAAAATTTTTTTTCAGTTTGTATTGTCCATTAAACACAATATTATTGATTATTATTTAGACATTGATATAAGAGCTTTGAATTGTTGTTAAATGTTCAGTAAATATGTAATATTGAATGTCGGAACGCTCACACATGAAATCATATAAGGCAAATCCAAAAATTAACACAATTTAAACATAAATTCACTAAAAAAAAGACAGTACATCGAGGAATTTAATAAGTTTAGTTATTACACTCAATATTGTCAACTTTTTAACTTTTTTTAATTTTTATTGAACTTAATTCACAATTAATTTTTTTTAGAAAACATATCAGAGAATAAAACTTCCTATTTATTATAGTCATATAAAATGTTTAAGTATCAAAATAAATACTTCAAAATGCTGGTATAACATTAGTCTTCATGCTTTTTCCTTTGTTATTCACCCATAGCTTGTAAACGATGGCGTGTAAGATTTGCGATATCGTAACAAGCTTCTGCGGTTAATAAATCTGATACCTAAAAAACAAAGAGAGCTTACATTCATTACTACTGTAGATAAAGTTCAGATTTTTTAGAAATACTATGTGAAATAAAATAAAATAATGTTTAATACATATTTTACTAAGATAAATGTATAAACATAATTATATAATATTCTTCTTTAATTGGAATGGAAGTAGTAAAATTCGATATTTGATAAGATTTTCTTGTAATTATATTGTTTTTGATGTTTAATGTGTACTTAAATCAGAATTTTAAGACTTATGCCATTGTTGTAGGGGAAATTGAAAGATCTAAGTAATGCAAATTAAAATGTAACTGTTAGTGTAAAATTCTAAAATTGCTCTTATCAACTTTTTTTCCTAAGCTTATTATCCATATTTGGTAAATTTGGTCCTAAACTTCTTATTCTTATAATTCTAAAAAAATCATTTCATATAATAACCATAATTAAAGAAAAAAAAATCATGAAATACAGTGTAAAATACAATTATTATATTTTTCCCATTACAACATGGTAATTGATTATAATAGCTGTTAAAATTCAATTGATACAAGCAAGTAATATTAATGACAAAAGAATAGAATTATGATGTAATGTTAATTTGATTTAGTAATTGGAATCGGATTTTAGGTTTACGCTTATATTTTAAGAACAGAAATTAGATAAGTAAAAATTGTGATATTGAGAATCTTTAATAAATTATAAAATTATATTAAAATTATTATAATTATATGAATAAATGTTTCTTTGATTTAATTTTGTATGGTTATTATTGATAAAATATTTTATTAAAAATAAAACACAATAAAATAGGTAAGTCAACGAACAAATTATTTTAAATCAAAACTAAATGTGTTATTTAGATTTCTTTTTAAATAAATTACATTTTCATTTATAGATATTGTGCTATACATTGAAAACTTTTGAAAACAAAAATCGACATTCAGTTACTCTCTAAATATTGATTTTACGATAGTCTAAGTAATTTATATTTTACTTATGGATATTTTCTCTCGAGTGTATTATAGATTCTAAGCTTCCATTATGGTTTTTAAATTATTTAATTATTGAGATGTTTAAATTCTAATTAAATATATGTCTTAAAGTAATACATTTAAAAATAAACAATTAAATTTTATCGTAGTAATATTTTTAAGACAGCCATAGTTTATTAATTATATAATAAAGTGTAATAGTGTTGTAAGACTTAAAAGAATAATTAATTTAATATTTTAATTTTATTATACTTTATTTTTTAATAAAATACATATTTTATGCAATATATTTTTCATTAATTCAATTTTGGGAAGAAAATGTGTCCGGATTAAGAAAATATTATTAAAAACATGGTATTAGATAAATTAGATATTAACAATAACACTTTACTATTCACATTTAACTTTTATACTTACAGTATACTTATTTGATTCTTCTAATGCATACTGTATACTTGTATCATATATAAGCATTTTATAATAAGATAATGCTAAAACTACATTACGCACTCTTGAAATTGTTTGTCTATCGCCAATATCAACTACCTATACAAATAATAATAATAATAATTTTCAAATTAAATTAAATTAATAATAAAAAATATACTTGTTGAAGATCAACTTCAAATCCAACAGGATCTTTATTATCGTTTGTTGGTTCAATCCAAATGTAACCATTGTTACCAAGTATGACACTAACTCCAGCTGACAAGTTATGAAAATGATTTTTACTACGTTTTATTAGATTAGATTGTACTTTTACTAATACTCCTTGTCCTAACTGTGAAAACAAAATTTAGATTACATAAATGTTTCAGAAAAAAAGCAATAATACAATTTTTTACCTTGCCATACTTCAAACTTCGCATGTGTAATGATAAAGAACCATCAGCAAATACAGAATGAACTTCAGCGCTAATTAAGTCACCTTCGCTCAAGTAACTTCTCATTGATTGTTCATCTTCCATACCTCTTCTTCTCTATAAAACATAGTATAGTAACATAGTAACACATTTCTATATAAAAAGTGATATTACTTTGTAATATATTTTTTTTAAATATAACTTTAACTCACTAGTTCTCCTCCTGGTAGTTGAATAGATGTTAGCAGTAGCACAGCATCCAGTCTAGCATTTATATCTACTTTCCAACGTTTATGCACCAATTCTGTTACACGAGCAATCACTACATCACCAATCTCTCCATTATAACGACACCGTAATGGACTAACTGTGACTAGTTTATTAATATTTTGTTCTACTCCTGCTACAGTTGCCTTCAATGATCCCGCTGATACATAAGTCCCATGACCTCTATATTGGTAATAGTTTATACAATTTAAAATATCTATAAGATAATAGATCAGAGGTAGAATAAGCAAATAATTTTGGTGGTAAGCAAAATTAGTTATTTATGGTTAACTATTACTTTCCTTAATAAGAGTAACTTACTATGTACTAGATACCTAGTATTTTATTATACACAAATAAAACCAAACTTTGGAATTCTATTATTTTCATTTAATATTGCAATATGGACATGTAATATTAACTGTGCCATACCCATAGACAATAATACTAGAAGCATGTTCCATATTTCTTTAAATAAAAATACCTAATTTACCAGGAAAGTAAGTGTAGCGTATTGGTATATTATTGGTACATTTTACAAATGTTTACCTCATGAATCCTGTTTGATCTCTGATTTTTTCACCAGGAGTAAAAATAATCGGCGGATTGGATGTAGGTTTCAGAACGGCATGCCGGGTCTTCTTTGACGCCAAGCTTATGGAAATATTCATGATGATGGCTGTGTCTATTTACACATCCGACGTAAAATAAAATACCTATCAAACAGAAATCATACTTTTTTACGATGTCTGTCGTCCACAAAACTTCAAATACGTAATACGATATTATTGTAACTCGTAGGCTGTAGCTTACAATAACTCTGTCTGTACTCTATAATGCCTATTGCCTACAATATTTACCTAGTATTTATCCATGCTGCATGGTGTCAAGCGATGGCGGTGATAAGGATAAAACTCGTGCTTCTGGTAAAAAAAAAAAAACACGCAACTGTTGACAAGAAATTATAACTGCCCGGAAAAGAATGGAAGAAAAAAAAACCGCAGAAGTTGCTTAGCTGTCTCATGATATAATTAAAATTGTCTAGTCGCAGGTTATTATTGACTATTAACTATTAAGGCCCTCTCTCTAGGATGGACATTTTTAATATTATAGAGGAATATATGATTTACAACATAACAATAAATATTATTTTGTACTATTGTAGTGATTTTTCTTTTATATTAAAATAAAGTACGTCGTTTTACTTTTAATAAGTATAGTACACATTACACAAGTATTCAGAATACAGCATTACTCAAATACTTTTTGGAAATAATATTATAAAAGTAGGTACCTTTAGAACACTACCCAAAAATGTTTCTAAGGATATTTTATAATTTAATCACATTACTAGTACACCTTACTATATTAGGTACCTATATAAGAGTTGTATTATTTAAGGAGAATACAATAGTCCTATTCCCCTCCATTGACTGTAATTATACTTACTTTATTACGGAAAGTAGAATAGAAGAAGACGTGTGTAATAACTATAGTGTAATATTACTGTATGGTAATAA